CCTCATTTGCTGCCACCTACTGTACTATGATTATGATCTCATCCTTTCGAAGTTCCTCCACTGATTTGTATACACTGTGGACATACGCTTGTCTGGATTACTGGTGAGGCCGTTTGAGTGAGAGAGCTGTCCCTTTGTTGCTCGTCACCAACGTGATCCTCTCCCCTGTGACCCCTCGCAGTAATTGCCTCAGCGCATATGCCATCGCTGCTAGTTCTGCGCTGTAGGGATTCTGTCTTGACCTTAAGCCTAATGTGAAGGAGAAATGCTCAGGTTCGGGGTCGGCTTGCAACCTCGGCCGTTTCTGAACGGCACCGCCGACACCTACCATGCCCCTTCTCACTGAGCTGCTGACCGCCACACGAGACCATAGAGTTCGACAACATGTGATATCCTTTCCGCCACCACCGACTCCAGCACCTTACCCAACGTGGCCAGCAGCGAGATCGGCCGCCATGCTTTTGCCAGCGTGTAGTTATCTTTGCCCGGTTTCTTGAGCGGTTTGATCTTTGCATGCCTCCACTGATGGGGCAGTTTCCCTTCGTCCAGAGACGCCCGAAAAATCGACAGCACCTAGGCTTGCACCACCGGCCAGGTTTGCTTCCAGACCGCTGCGAGGAGCCCGTCTTCGCCGGGTACCTTCCATGACTTTGTCGCAAATAGCTGGCGTTCCACTTCTTCCATCGGAATAGGCGGCATCTCTACCACAGCTCTTTGTGGTCTGTCTCTCTCCTTGTTAATGTCTTTGGGGAGAGCAAAGAAGAAGGTGGTGAGTAGTTCTTCTGCTTGTTCTATGTAGTTCGTTGTTGTTGTTTTGTCTGCCCTGACCAGCTGCAGCAGCTTACCAAAAGCCTCCTTATTGCCTGCTTTCAGGTACCTAGCAGCCTTTTATATGTTGTCGTTATCCACTAAGAACTCATTCCAGTGCTTTCTCTTTTGTTGACGGATCGCGTCATAGTACTGTTTCAATGCTGCCTTTACCTTTTCTTCCAGGTCCACCATGGCTTATCCTGCCCGCCTTTCTGCACGCGCCCAGTTTCTCCAGTACATATAGATTTAATGAAGCTATATCAAGTTAGTCGTCTACCATTGTTTTAAGTATAGTAACGGCTTAGCCTTCGGTGTTAAGGCGTAGATTGCCTCCATTACTACTGCTATTAGTCTGTCCGTCTTTTGTTACACTATTCCCTTACTAGGTATTGTTTCTAGCGCTCTCTGGATCCTGGCGTTAATCTCTTTCTAGGGCGTGTTCTTGAAGAGTAGGCGCTCTTATAGTACTAACATAAGAATCGAGACGTTAAAAATCATCTTAATAGCCCTATGATCCGACCCATAGTCCGTCTTATAGATCGCACACTTAATCAGCAAGTTCATTAGATCTTTAGAAGCTAAGACAAGATCAATAGTCAACTAGTGCTCCCCTTTCTGCTATGTCTTTATGCCACGCAGTAATAGACTACTAAGGCCAAACTCGTTTATAAGGTCAATGATCAGGTCTGCCTTGCCCTACTTGACCATTGATATCTTGTCTTTTCCTTAGAGCTGGTTACATCAGTTAAAGTCGCCCGCAATAACCACATCCATTACCCTGTCTGCTCCTTGTCTAGTGTCCAGCACGATTTGTCATAACTTGTCACATATACTCTACAGAGCATAGCTTTCACCTCCTGGCACGTATACCAACGCCACTACTACCAGCCGCTCCTCAAGCCAGACAACTACTACCATCACATCAGGTAACTCCAGCTGCACCTACTCTGCTTCCACCTCCCTGTTCACTTATAGCATACTCCTAATTGCCCACCTGCCTTCTCTGCACGTTGACAGGACCATCTTCGTCCACCACTGGTGCCCCATCGGGGTTGTAAAGAGGCGGCCTTGGATGACCCTCGCCTACGGCTCCTGGATCGCCAACACCGTCGTATCCCAAACTACTTCGTCGTTCTCAAGCTCTTGTGTATCTTGCCCCGTTTCATCACGTTAAGTTACATTATTCGGAACCTTTTACTCATAACGAGTAGGGAAAAGTGTCCTGCAGTTTCTGCTGAACGACTCGTGCAGTCCTCTGCACAGAACGCACTTCAGGACCGTCTCACTGCATTCGTGGTGACTGTGCCCTTCTGCAGCACATCTTGCACATACCTTGGGCTTGATACATTAGTAGGCCTTATGTAACGGGCTGGGCCCATACGAGGCCTTGCTGAACATCGCGGCCAGGATCACATCTGCGATACCCACAAGCCAACCCTGATCAGGCCCACCACGGAATCCACGATGCCGACAGTCCGATAGCCAGTGCAGCATAGCCCTGATCAGGCCAGCAGCAGGGTGGAGATTCATAGTTTTCCCTTCTATTCCTCATCTGAGGATACTCGTAGTAGTCGCCATAGCCTGTTGCAAATACACACGCCTTGGACCGTTACACAGCCAATGGCAGAGCTGGGGGAACGCGTCGAGATCTCTAGGTGGGGCTGCGAATGAATGGGAGCCCGTGCACGATATCAGCCAATAGCATAGCGTGGAACGCGTCGAGAAATCCATCAACGCAAAAGTGGATCAATTGAGAAATCTAGCCAATAGTTATACAAGGATGCCGGAATCTCGGCGCGTTCCGACGGAGAATACCTGAGTAAGTAGGGGCGGGCGCGGAGGGGGGGGGGGGGGGGGGGGGGGGGGGGGGTGGGGGGCTTCAGTTCGGCATTCGTTAGCTATATACTCGGTCCGGTTTCTTTCTTTTCCTTCATATTTTTATTCGCTTTGTGTACGACAAAACACGAGGTCAATTGGCTAGTGTCAATCGCTTCTTCGTTACTGTCGCTTCCACTTTGGTCGGTTGGTCAGGTCGGCCTCCTTGGCTCGTCGTGCGTGGTGTCGTGTCTAACCCTGAACCCTGGAGCTAAAAACCCTCGGGGACGAAACAGCCAACCCTGGGGTTATTGTTTTCTGGCTGGAACCAATCACCGCGGGGGCCCGGTCCCAAGGAATCCGGTCCCAAAAATCACCGCCTGGTCCGAGCGCCCCCCGCCAAACCGACCGGGAATTGGGTCCCAATTCCCGGGGAATGATGCCCAGAATAGTTAGGGTTTATCGCAACCAGATGGTCAGAGGTAGTACCGAAGTCCGCTGCAATAGGGTCTAGGGTATCACCCTTAACAATCTAGTACCAACCCAAGCCCGGATGCTTAAGGTCATGCAAGCATCCACGAGTGGCCTCAGAGAAGCCGATGAGGGCTGCAAGAGCAAATATAACAACTGAGAGCATTTTAAAATATTTGTAATGCTTGAGGATATGGAATGGGTAGTTCGGAAGCGACGCACTGTAGTTGATAATCGAAATGGTTAAGCGTAATGAGCTGACAATGATGCTCCAAGCGTGGGGGAACCAGGCTTTTAAGCCATTGCGCCATTTGATCGTCGTTTGTATTTCGTTTGTCTCTTTACAAATATAAGTGGATCAAATGTTGTGCGAATAGTGTACATGAATAATCTGATTACGACTTGCGCGGCAATAAGTACATTTAATTGGTGCTTCACTCAGAGCAACTGAGCAACTTTGGCCTCAAAATTTGGCTGACAAATGGGCGGTGCTACGAGCAGGTCTGGGCAACCAACTGTAGCACAAAGCAAAAGCTTCGGTAATGATGCACTTCTATCATTATCTCCTGTTCTGCACTATATGGTTACGCTGCCTAGCACTTAACTGGTTGGGCTGTAATTTGAAGAGACTAGCTTCTCGCGGATTCCGACTTCAACGAGGAGAAGAAGTCGGTCTATCGCGGATTCCGACTCTAATAAGGTATTACGACCCAACCAGTAAGCAAGGTGCTAGCCGGTATAACTATACAATACAGAACAGGAGATTAATGAGACAGGGTTCTCAACACGGAAGCTTTTGCTTTGTGGCGAAGCTGGTTGTCCTGACCTACTCGTGACGTAAGGAAGAGGGCCGGCCCAGTGCGGACCCCGCGGGGTCTCGGCGCGGGGTCCGAAGTTATAGAGGGAATCCATCTAGTTTATATTTAGTCGCACTATAGTCGAAAGCTTATTGCAACCAGCATAATTAGTTGATCTACAACATAGCTGTAGTATAGAATGAGAGATAAGAAGAGAGGGTACTTATTACTAAAGCTTTTGCTTTATAATGCAGTTAGTCATCCTGACTTGCTTATGACAAGCTCTACTAGGTCATTATAATAAACTAAATCTAACTAGCTAAAGTAAATAGAATATTACATTCTCAAAACTGCTATTACTTTAATAGTTACCTTTGTACTATATGCAATTACCCTAGTAGTAGTAGTAAATATAGTCGCTAGTAGCAGCTAAAATACTATGCCAGTAAACATACAATGAAATGTTTATTACATAGTCCTTCTAGTAGCTATTCTGAATCTAACAGAACTTGGGTGCTATACATAATGGATTAGTACATGTTACGGCCTTTGCCATGGTGAATAGCATGGGTGGTGCTCACGCGCACCAAGACACCGGACCGCTTCGGACAAGCTAAGCACCGGCGGTCCACCGGTGACCCACCGGATACTTTTCTACGGAAATGCCACAGCAGTCAGACTTTCCCTCGTTAGCTTAGATACATTCAATTGAGGCACCCCTACGTTGACCAACGTCCGGCTAGACCCCTTACAGTACGTGATATCAAGGATTCTTCTCGAGATACTCTCAGCAGGGCTCACCATGACTTCTCCATCTTTCTTTAGTGGATACATGAGGCATTTCTCGTCATTTGAAATCAAATGAGCTTTATGCCTAGTTCATTCATATTTAATCAGGCTTTACTGAAGATGGAGAGAAAAAAGTATTTAAATGCCTAACCGATCAGTCTTCACCAAAGCAGAAAATCAGCCTCCTTCTCACAACCACTACCTTCTATACAAAACCTTACGTTATTCACTTAGCTTTATAGCTATTATCAGTGTTAGTACTTTTTATAAATCTACTTACCTTATAAGCGTTTTTACTAACCAAAGGTACTAGGCAAAATGGTTAACCCTACCGTTCTCGTTACTACCATCCTTGCTACCACCGCCCACGCGTGGACATGGGGTAATTGCCGCAATACCCAGCAATGCAACCCAGCTCACGCAGCCGGACCCTACTCCTCCAACTATGCCGACCTACAGCGTGCCAACGACGGTTATTGGTACTCGAAACAGGTCGATGGTGTCATTATCGACCCTAATGGATGGTATGACCCTGCAAACGGGTTTTGGGTACTCAGTGTCTGGAATGGCCCTAATACTCAAAGCTATTGGTCGTCACCTGACCAAAAGCCCTGCTGTCTTCCCAACGAGGTTGGCACCGGAATTACCGGGGCCTCGGTTACTGGTTCAGCCGCTTAAAAGCGTAAATGCATGCTACAGTACCGACCTATTAGTCTGAATACGCCCCTCAATTGCCTCGCTACCTACATTCCACCAAATCAGATGCGAGGTATAATCAGACTTATGGGTTAGCACTATAGCTAGTGCTTTGTATCTAAGATAAAATGCATCCTACTACTACTCCATCCAGCGACTAGGATAGGGTACATAAGTCAATTTAATTTCAAATGCATATAAAAAGGGTTTACTTCAATATACGGTTGATAAGGTAGTAAGGAAACTAATGAACTTGTTGGAATAACAGCAACAGCTGGTTGTACGACACGCACGACTCAGGGATACACATCATGGCAGAGGGCACAGACTGGATATTCGGCTCTCGGTTATCCATTGAGGGGATCAAAAGTATATTCATGCCGAACTGACTCAGGGACGTACGAGATCATGTATCTCGTGTACGAAAGCCAAGTCTTGTAGTTAGGAAGATAATCACGGAAAATATATCTTTGGTTCACCCTAACTTTTAACCCGAGTACGATCGTACAAACGGGTTCTCTCAGGAAGAGAGAATCCATTCAACAGAACTAGATTTTTATTACGACCCAAAGTTCGTTGGTTAAGGCAAGAACCTAGAACAACCCTTCACATGAAATAAGGAACAATAACAACTAGATAATTGACTGATTGATTTAATCCCCCACGGTTATCAAGCTCCCCATGGGTTTACGAGTACCCGTGCAAATAAAGTTCCACGGGTCCCCATGAATATGACAATGCAAGCAGTCCTCTCTAATGGATGCGTTACGTATATTGACTGATTTCACGTATTTTCATGTCGATAGGTCTTCAGTTGTGTGTTCCAAAAAGAGATCAATACAGCCTCTACAGAGTCACCACTCACATTCTTGGATGACTGTCTTTCTCCTGAACGCAACTGTGGATCGCAAGATGCTCTCTCTGCACCTACAAGATGAATAAGTACGGCATGCCGCTTCTTGATATGGATGCCATCGATGCTTATCAGCGGTCCTTCTGTATTACGTTCGCATTCCTCAGTGGTGAGGCAGACGAAGATTATACGTAGGCTTTGGTGCGGGTTAGGTCCTTGAATGACCATTGCAACTACACACAGACCCAAATAACACAACAAAGATATTCCATCAATTGACTTACTTCGACAGTGGCTGTCTGTCGATTGGAAACGTCCGCGGGAACCCGCGTCGGCTTAGCCGGAGATAGGTCAGGAAGTTTGTTATATTATCTTGATATGAGCTAAAACCATATCATCGGTTACGTTACTAAGGAATAGATTTTATATTACGTACTTATATATTTTATACTACCATCCCCATCTGTAATCTATGTATTCATATGAAATTTTCTCATAAACATTATTTAAGTTTAAAACTATACATGGAGAACTGTTTAATAAACTTTATTACCTTCATATTTTCACTTTCTTAACACGGGTTTGTAAAAGCAGTATATTAAGAATCTAGCAGCATAAACAATGGGTCAAAGTAGGTACTATTAGATATACTTAACACTTCATTTATATAGTCATACATCTTCTAGAGTGAGTTTCTTTCAACCTATCTACTATTATTTACTTTTATTACATACGTTCCTTATTAAATACCACTCTTCAAATTTCAAAGTATAAGCACTAGTCTTGTACAACCTATACTACCGTAAGATATTCTTTACTTAAAGCTAGACCTAGGATATAAACTAACATATGTATTAGAAAATAAGAAGTATTCTAAGCCTAGTAACGCCTGTTATGTCTATCAGCGCTATAGTCAACGCCGCCGATACTGTTGTACAGGGTCCTTGTACTATACTATACGGCAAATACCCTGGACCTCCTAACGTAGTCAGAAGTTAATTCCTTAAGTTTTTTGAATGGACGTGCACGAATAATATATATGGCAAAAGTAATACTGCCTTGGTATCTATAGGAGGTACTTTAACTGGGGTTAGTGGAATTTGCGGAGATGTGCCCTAATCGTGGTGCGACGCATATCCAGCAGGAAAGACATACCACCCTAGACTTAGCTCAGTTAATACCATTTATGCTTTCTTCTGTTCCCCTAAATGTACACAGAAAGGCAAGTAGGTATTACGGTCAAATATCTAACAGTGGCTTATTGTCTTAATACCTAAGGTCAATTCTTAACAACAGTGGCATGAATCGGGAGTCTGTCGTGGATGGCCTTGGGCATAGGTGGCAGTCCCCGTCTCGCCAATGAGAGACAGGCCGTGGCTATCTACCCAGTCTGCTATGTCATTCCCCCTATTCCTGTTCCTCGATCCAGGCTCCCAGGAGTAGTAATAAGCGTTAAGGTCCCTTGCCACAAGGACTCTTTTTGGCGGGCTGTATTCTAAGAGGGTTATAATCATGTGACTATAAGGATCTCCCGGTTGCCTGTATACGTTAACCTCAGTAATAGCATTATTAACTATGATCCATAAAATGTCCCTTGTCTATACAGGCCTCTACTGCTAGGCCTTTTACTTTATCCCTTTCTATATATAGGTTATTACCTTAGGTCTAGTTTTTCTGTCCTTCTAAAAATCTACTAGGACATATAAATCAAAACCTAGGTATATATTAATTTGCATTTTGTTAATATAGCCTATCTATAGTTCCTAGATAAGTATAATATTAATTAGCTTAGCCTAGCAGAGCTCTAAAAAAGCTGTATATACTAGCAATTACTTCTCTATATTATACTAGGCTACACGTAATACCTGTGGAGAGACTTGATTTAGTTTATGCCTCTAAGTTAAGTTCTAGGTAAGTATAGGTATTAGTAACGTTATAGTCCAGTTTCTAGGCTACCTTTTAACTTCTACTTAAAAAAAGTAGAATAACATAGTTAGTCTAAGAAGGACCCTTAGCATCCTAAGGCTTGTCCTTACTTATACTACTACTATTAGTATTTTTATTTTTAAGGTATATAATTAAGCTCTTAGAAGATATCCTTTTGTGTAACTACTTAGAGCTAAGTAGTTAATCCTGGTTAGAGAAAAGGAGGTCCTTAGGCTATTATATACTGTTCTGAGAAGCGCTTAGACTGGCTTTATAGAGGGCATTATAGGCCTTTTGTCCCACCTTACAGATCTAGGCCTGCTCCTTCTAGTCTAGGAAAGCAAAAATATTATCTATTATTATAGGCCTTACTAGACAATTCTTGTAGCTAGCCTAGAATAGCCATAACAGTTCATACACTTAGGCTTAGCTATATAAGGCCTAGTCTTATATAAGTCTAAAGCTTTACTATAGTTATTATAAAGTAGCTATTAGTTATAGTAGCTGTTTAAGTAATAACCTTAGTAGCTAAGGTCATGTTTAATAAGCGTCTTTTTTTTCTAAATAAGCTAAAACCTATAACTTTAGTTAAATAGTCTAAAGAGTTATACCTTTATTAAGAATAAGATCACCTAAAAGACTTTGTTTATAAAGGGGTTTAGCCTAAGGCAGGATTACTAGGCCTAGGTAAGCTTTAGTCTTGTTTAGGCAAAGACCTCGTCTTTAATCAAGGTAGCTAGGTCTAAGGCGTCCCTGTTAACGCTCCACAGTTTAGCTAGGTAGCACAGAACAACATAGGTAAACTACTTTATAAAGGTCTTAATCTTATAAGCCCTTAAGTAGCCTACTAGTTTTTACTTATCTACTAGAAAGCCTTACTAAATCTACTTATTTAATAGCCTTAGTAAGTATCTAGTTATAATAGTAGATATAAAGGATATCTACTAGTTAAAGGTTAAAGGTCTAGTAAACTGTCTAGTATAAAGCAAAAGGGGTGTTCTTTCAGGCAGCCAACAGGCCCTCCTCTAGGATACAAGCAAAGACCCAGAGGTCTTCTTTCGGCTAGGGTTAGGGCTGGGTTTTTGTCTATGGTCTAGCCTGCAGGCAGGTCAGAGCCCAGTGGGGGTCTAGAGCTACTGCTAGTGCTAAGGCTATAACGGTAGCCTAGCTCCAGGTTAGTATCAAAGCATATTCCTTATTAATAAGCTTCTTTAGGGCTTAGATCACATATACTATATCCTTTTTTATAATCTACTTCCTAAGGCCCTTAAAGCTAAAGAAGATATTATTAATAGACTACATAATAGTTAAAAAGATATTTTTATAGGCCTTATAGTACCTAGTCTTCTCGTTAAGAGTAAACAAGATAGACCTAGTAGTAGTCCTACTAGTAACTAAAGTTAAGATTAAAGGCCTTTTTGCTAATAGTAGAGCTGGATTAAAGGTGTTAGGCTAGTTTTTTGCAAGGCTAGGCTAAAGTAGCTAAGTCTTAGTATTGTAGTAGCATTTAGCCCTTGATAAAGTAGTTGGCTCTAGAGGTAGCCTAGAGCCCTAATAGGGGCCAGCCAGTAAGGCTAGTAGTAGTCTAATGCTTACCGGAGGCTGTGAGGCTATTACGGAAAGGCTCTAGAGCAGAGAAGCAAAGAGTTTTCAGCTATTAAGGGCTCTAGTGATTCACTACCTAATTCACTAACAGTAGTTACTAAGACAAATTAAGCAAAAGAAAAGTTATAGCAGCTTCTTACTTTAAGCAGTAAATCAAAATTAATTTCATTTTATAGTCTTATTATATTACTGTTTTAAGACTTTACTTATTAAACTAATATCTAATTTTTACCTAGTTATAGTAAAAAGTAGTTTAAAGTTTTAGAAAAAGTTTTTATTTAGATAATATTAAATAGATTCTCTCTTCCTAAGAGAACCTGTGTGTATGATTATACTTAAGTTAAAGTTAAGGTAAACCAAAGATATATTTTCTATGATTATCTTTCTAAGTACAAGACTTAGCTTTTATACACAAAATACATAATCTTATATATCCCTAAGTTAATTCAGTATAAATACACTTTTAATTCCCTTAATAAATAACTAAGAGCTAAATATCTAGTCTATACCTTCTGCTATAATATGTATCCCTAAGTTATACGTGTTATATAACTAGCTAGTGCTATTATTTTAACAGATAGTTTTTTTAATATTCTTA